CCAAGTACACCTCGCTCTCAGATCTTGAGTTTTCTAGATAATCATCCTCTAATAAAAGGAGCCAGGGCTATTTGGTTGATTCTAGAGCTGGATCAGGGGAAATATGAGGGTGCTTCAAAAAGTTGATGAAAAAATGGAATTGTAAGATAGTGGAATTTTTCCTTGAACCTTTTGAAGTGCCCCCTCATGTATGATGAACCTGGAGGGCCAGAAAGCAAGTGCCCAAAAACCAAAACTGATGAGAGCATATCAAAGGGATGTAGAAGCCAACCTGAAAGAGTTCCCAATGGCCATGGAACATTTTGAGTAGTGAAAAACATAGTATTAGAGTAAACCCAAAGTATAAATAATTTACAAGCTAGAAAAAAAATTTTTTTAAACATGTAACTTCAACTTCAAATGATTCAGGATTTTCTGAAACCTATCCTAGATCTTTTTGTATGGAATTGGATAATTATGAAGGGTGTTGTTTTTTTTTCCACCTCCCATAAACAGACACAGTTGTAGAACTTCCTGTAACTTGGCAAACAGCTTGTGCAATGGATTTTTCTAAAGCTTATCAGTCACTACTTCAGAGAACAGTGTCTGATAAGAATGAAGAGTGCAGGCTCTGGAACCAGTCTGTCTGGATTCAAATCCTGATTCCTTTACAATGGCCTTTGCTTCCTCAGGCAAATTATGTAACCTCTCTGTTTCCTTAACTATAAATTGGGTATAATAATCCCTCTTTTGCTTTTTGTATGGATTAAATAAGTTAATACATGGGAAAGTGCTTAGAAAGAAAGTGATACTGAGTAAATATTAGCTATTATTAAAGAAGTCGTTTTGTCTCACAGAGAGAGGGTTCCTGTTGGAAGACATGCCCTGGAAAAGGGGACCTTTTTCTAATTTCTTCACAGGTGCCATATGAAACAGCAACATTCCTGCATACAGATGCATTCCTTCCTAGTCAGGGCTGGTGACTGCTGGCAGTGGATCATTGGTTCTACTTACTGGAAAAGCACTACTAAATATATCTCACCTTCCTCCTCACAGTGGAGGAATCTGAGACTGCATTCTCTTTTCCAAGTTATACTCTATTTCCATACCAGCATTAGGTTGGCCTCTTCTGTATTATTTTTCTGAAAAAGATGGCTGCTTACAATTTCATGAAAAAAACAAAGTTCTATATCCTTGTGTAGAGCTCCTCTTTATCCCAGTATATCAGTCATCCTCTTTGCCTCTGAGCAGAGTAACTGCTGCTGCTCTTCTGGTCCACAGTGTGAAAATTTGGTGTTGTCTTAATTCTCTTTCTCTATCCCAAATGCCATTTCCATTAAACTTAATTTTTTTTATTTTTATTTACAAGTGTAGGTAAAAAGTATTGCTATGAGGGTTCCAATTCATACATGAATGGGTTTATTCCAAACAAACATGGTTAAACATGTCTCTGTGATTAGTGGATGGCTGCAGGCAAGTTTTTTCAGTAATAGACTTATTAGAGTGCTTTCAAAAGAAGTGTCTAGTCCAAACAGTAGTTTCCAAGGGTATCTGCTGAGCCAGTGAAACTCAAAGCAGAGAGGTCAGCTCAGAAGGTTATGATGACTATATTTTGGGACCCCAGAGGGCATAGATTTTATTGAAGTACAATCATGGGGCTTATGAAGAAGTTCTAAGAAAATTCGAAGGTGCATTGGTGAGAAGAAGGCCAGTAAAGTTGCACAAAGGAATACTTTTCTATCACAGTGCACCTGCTCATTCTTTGAGGGTAGCAAGGACTGTCATAGGAGAATTTCATCCATCCACCCTACAGCCCGGATCTTTCCCCACCAGACTTCTTTTTGTTCTCTAAACTTAGAGAACATTGAAAAGGAACATGAGTCCCTTGAGAATGCCATTTTGATGTGGTGTAAATGGACCAGTGCAGAATTCTTTGGAGAAGGGTTGTTGTTGTTAAGTGCCATTGAGTTAGCTCCGACCCACAGTGACCCTGTGCAGGGTTTCTTCATAAGCTGAGAATTATGAACCTGTAAATTTAGGGAGGAAGGAGGTTGGGAATCTTCAGGAAGATTTCTAGGGTCCCTTCAGTAACAGTGAGGCTAAGGAATGAGTGAAGAAACTGATAATGATTGGTATTATTGTGAGGCCTTTGTCTCTGGGGCTTCCTCATGAGTCTTGACCATATGGTTTGGAGGACTAGGGGAGACGTGGTCTTGTTTGGAATGCATGGAACAATGGAATTCTTTTGATTTCAGGAATACTTGGAGCTCTGGCGCTTTCTTGAGTCTGATGGAGGAGTGAAGGTTGGGGGCAATATGAACTTACTTTGAGCTCTTGGAGCTCTGGGGCTTCCTCATGTCTCTGTCAATGGAGATGAGAACCTGGAAGGGATGATTTTTGCCTGGATCATCATGTGTAATAGCCCCAGTACCAGACTTGTTAACTTTTGCCAGTCTGGTAGGTGTAAAATGTTATCTAGCTGTGGTTTTAAATTGCATTTCCTGGTTTCACTCTAAAAATTCGAAATTCTTTTTAATGTTAGACTCAGCCCCATAATTTTACTCTTCTTTGCTTAATGAGCTCTAAGATTATATGGGTTTTATCCATTGTCTATCTGTGCCATGACTTAACACCCAAGATTTCCCAATTTCACACCTGAAACCTTTACCCTGATGACTCTTGTCAACAAGAACCTCAGGGGAGTGTGAAGTCATTGAGCCAGGAAACCTACCTTCTGCCCTCTCTGCCTCAGGAGCTGCATTGGTAGTCTTCGTCCATGCATTATTGTTAGGTGCTGTGAGTCAGGTTTCGACTCAGAGACATTCTGAGGAATGGTTGGTGAGCTTGAACCACTGGCCTTGCATTACTCCTATCCTTAAAAAAATTGATGTTGTGGGTTAATGCACTGGACTGCAAGGTTGGTTGAACCATAAGGTCTATGGTTCAAGCTCACCGGCCACTTTTTGGAAATCCTGTACAGGGTCACTCTAGGTTGGAACCAACTCAATGGCACTTATCAACAACATCCACATGACTCTCTACTTCACCTCATCTGGGCCCCAAACTCTGGGCCCCATATTATGATACTGTCAAAGGTTGCCTTTTAAACTTTTAATTTTAAAATCTCAGAATCACAGAGCTATTACTCATAGTGTGTAATGAAAGTACTTTGGTCAACCGCCGCTAAGGCTGTAACTTCCTTTACTTTTTAAGTCAAATCTTTTTATTTTTTTAATTAAAGAAAATTATTTTGTTGCTGTTTTCCATATATCTTAATCTGTTTTGTTGTTGTTGTCCAGACCAAGTCTTTATTATTGTTTTAACAACATAGTGGTTACAAATCGGGCTGCAAGCCGCAAGGTCAGCGGTTCGAAACTACCAGCTGTTTTGTGGGAGAAAGTTGAGGCTTCTGCTTCTGTAAATATTTATAGCCTTGGAAACCCTGTAGAGGGTCGCTATGAGTCGGAATCGACTCCACGGCACATAACCACCACCAGGCCCTTCCCAATGTTTCTTAGCACTCTCACAGATTCTAAACCCAGATTCACAAAACCAAGGAGAAAGGCAGGGTGTACATTGTATTCTGATTATCTGTGGCACTCCTGAGGTGGCCATTTAGAATACCATACATCCTACTCCCCCAGTGTGCTGGAGAATTACAAAGATGATATGTTGTTGTTGTTCAGTGCCGTCAAGGCAGTTTGACTTACAGTGACCCTGTATACGGTTTCCGGTGAGGGGCTGGTGAGTTTCAACCACTGATTTACGGTTCCAAGTGACTTTGTGGTCCAGCGCTTATCCTACAGCACCACAGATTATAGCACTTACAAATTCTAATTCTATGACTAGAGTTGCTCAGGATCATTACCCTATTTACCTTTTCAGACTTCCAGTAATGTGGCGATAAGACCTGCCTTTTTGGTTTCTTCTTCATTGTTCAAAAGGATTTCATCTAACTTCCTATGGTTAACTATTAAGAATATAATATAATAATTTTGTGAGTTTTTTACCTGGGTGGGTTGAAGCTTATTTTTGAAAGGCCGTCACTGTCATTTAAATGCACTGGACTGAAAGTATTCCATACTGGGAGTACTAGGGGGCTTCAAAAAGTTCTTGGAAAAATGTAATTAAAGGATAATAGAATTTTCCCACAAACCCTTTGAAGCCCTTTATTTACTACATATGTACCCATTTCTCAGAATAGGCATGGTAGGAATCTCAAAGTTTTAGCAGATTAAATATAATTTACACAGATCTTAGTGTAAAAAGCAGTAGAAAGAATGTGTATACCCTCCCCCCCAAATTAAGCTAGTGCTAGTACAAATCTTAAACCCGAATCTTTCCTAGTACCAAAGAATAACTCCCAATAGAGAAGTTAATTTGAACCCATATGAAATTGTCATGGGGGCACCCTAGAAACAATTTTCATCCATCTTGATTGATCCAAATAATTTCCAGATGCATGTTTCTAATAATATTTTGAGCAACTACAAAGCCCATATGAGTCGTCTGAAGTTTTATCATTTACAGGTGTGTGAAGCATTCCCTGGCTCTGCAACCAACTCACCTACCAGCTGCTTCTTTGTGACTGGGTCCTGATTAAGATCCTTTCAAGAAAAACTTCATTGGATCTACACTCAAGAGGGCTCTACCAGGTTTTCCTGACCTCCCTACATTGCTAAAGTGCCAACGCCTTAAGATTTGGGTACGTGTAATACAACGGCAAGTGTGCCAGCACCAACAACAGACCCATTGGACCTGTCATTTCCTTTATTTCACCACGTAGATACATTAGCCTTACCAGCAAAGCAGAGTAATCCAAGTGCCTCTGTGTGACACCACCACCAACTGATAACGAGCAAGGAAAACTCATTTGTATTTAGAGCCCTGTCTTTTCTTGAGAAGCTGGGATTTGAAGGAGATACTCTTGAGACCTGTGTTGCTAGTAAGTGACTGATAACATTCTAGACTGCATCGGGTCCCTGAATTCAGAGACTGAGTTGCAATTGAGTGAAAAGTAGACAACGAAATCTTGAAGAATTGTACGGAGGTGCAAGCCAAATTTAACTCTCTCCTAAATTAATGTGGGTCGGACTAAGAAATTACTAAACACAACCTGTAATAGGACTGGTTATTTGGGTGCCCCTCTTTGCCATTGTTGCCTCTTGCTGTTACATTGCTTCCCCTGTGTTACCTTTCTAGGCCCAGATGTTCTCAGATAATGCACATTGTCCTGACTGTGGACAACAGTGGTTCCCTAGTTTAGAACTAGGCCATTGGTTGTACCAAACCGAACTTATTGAAAATGAATGTTACCAAATCTTCTTAGATCGTATTAACAGAGCTGATTATTGCCCTGAGTGTTATCCAGATAATTCTTCTAATAGAAGCATTGTTCTTCCTTGGTCTTTCCCACTTGAGTGGGCTCCCCAAAATCTCACTAGATGGACCTTTGAAAAAGCTTGCCACCCATTTCTTCTGGGTCCACCCCTGGTTAGAAAAAGGATCCATGACTCCAGACTAGCTGGTTTTAACCCTGCACTGCAGCTAATCTTGACCAGAACAGATAAAACCTTAAACAAAAAACTTGGTCAAAGCAAATAACTTTTTAAAGTAAAAGTCATGGAAACTCCAGAGGGTTTTGTGCTGGTACCCCAAGGGAGACTGAAGAACTCATTTCTGAATATGACCCACACTGTCACTACTTTGGATCTGCTTCCATGGCCTAGGCGTATTTTGTTCAGCATGAATTAAGTCAGTATTCCAGCCAAACTGTTCTTCTAGAACCAAATGAATCTTGATCCCTAGAAATGATGTAGTGTACCCCATCCTAGAAGTTTCTATAGCCTCATTATTGATATGTGACAAGTTAATCCTAGAGAGAGGTTCTGTAATGGTATTTCTATTGGTAAGTTTTATGGAAGCGCATCCTCACTGTAACTGGATCCTAGATTATTCCAGTAAAACAACTAGACATTTTGCACTTTAATAAGAAGCTATATTGTTCTATATTCAAACTCATATACTGATCAATGATGATGATGATGATATATATATATATATGTACATGCACATGTACCATTTATTCATATATTCCATATTCATCATTGACTCTGTTTAGCCCATATTCATGATTGACTCTGTTTAGCTGTGACGTTATTCATAACTGCTCTTTGTCAGAGAAACTATATTTTATCAAACAACACCTACATAGGTTACACTTAAACATGCAGAAACTTACTTGACTCTTGTTAAGCAAAGCTATCCTGTGGTAACTAGACTTTGCCCTGAAAATGGGTAAGTACCTGTCCTCTAAAATATATCATCAGGCTTATCTCCTTGTATAAGAATAGTCTAAGTGAACCATGTATCTTAAAACTGAGAGGGTCTTGTTGGACTTTGACTACTTTCTGGCCTAAAACAAATTAGAGAAGGCTATTGAAAACATCTCAGAGGTCACTGAAAATTTAGAAAATAAACAGTAGGTAATTGAGTGCTTGTGTAATAATAGCTCAACAGTGTTACCAAGGACCCAGGTTATTTCTGTTCTTCCCTTCTGGGATCTTTACCATGCTGACTTTTTGTCTTCATGGTTGTTTCCTCATGAGTGTAATAATAATGGCTTGTTACTGCTTCAGACATTTCAATCCCAGAAGGCTGGAATTGGATGGACAAAGGTTATCTTGTTTTAGAAGTCCCTAGCAGATTTCTTCTTACATCTCATTAGTCAGTACTGGTTCACAAGGGAACCTGGGAAAGCCTGGCAGAAGGGGATGGGTTGACATTGCCTGGGTAGGGCATATCACTCCCCTAATAAAATCAGGATGATAGAAGTGGGAAATAAATTGTTGTTGGTATGCAACAAATCATGCCTGGTACATGTCATGAAACCTTAAATTAATCTGTATGAAGAATGTACCCTGCAGATCTTTCCTATATCTATTTTATGTCTATTCTGGTGGAAGTTCTCGCGACATATTGCTGAATAAACTATTTCAACTGCTAAATTGAGTGAACACTAGTGTGTCATTAACCCTTGGTTAAGAACTCCTTCTGTATCCTAATTCTCTTCGTAAAAAGTGAAAATCTACTCTGAAACAATGCTTTTGAGGATGGTGTTATGATTAATTTTATTGCCCCCTTGAAATTCTCAGTTATTAAGAGAATTCTGTGCTACAGGAATATATTAAGAAACACTATGTATATGAACATTTAAATATCAGCAAAATTAATAAAAGATTTTTTTGCTTTTGTTTTAACCGATCTCCTTTTAAATTATAAAGATAAATGAAGAAGGATCTACACCATTTTCAGTATGCCTAAGAAATACAGGAAAGAGCATTTTAAACTTGGAACTTTCTTAATCTACCATTGCAGTTTTGATTCCTTAGGCTTCTCTTGGGACCCAGAAATCTGCATTTTATAAATTACACCCCAGGAAAGTCTTGTGGAGGTAGCTATGAAGTGTATTTTGAGAAACACAATAGCACATCCAGGGTGTTTAATTACATGGCTTCAAAAAGGATGTGTGCTAATTCATAATACTGCAAGGTAGTAACATTTACTAATAACCTAAAGAAGTTTCAAGTTTTTGAAGGTCATTGCTGATAGTTCAGGTTTTGACTCAATCAAATTTTTTTGTGTTACTAAAATAAACAAGACTCTTTTATAGCCATCTTCACAAAACATTCTGTTTGGTGTTATTAAAAGCTATGTGAGTATCTGAGTATGGGAAATAAGTGAAAAAGATTAATTTTCAATATTATGTTCAGAGAGCACCTGGCCTTCAGATTTGATTACATTATCACTTACCTATTGGCAGCTTTCAGAAATCAGGATCATGTGATAGAGCTCATAAAATTGAGTAGGGGAGAAAACTTAGGAAGCATTCTAGCTTTTCAGTTTAGGTTGTTTTAGTGTGACTTTCTTGGTATAAATACTGCAGATTATGATACACTAGTTATGAATATTTTACTGAGATGAAATCTAATGACAAATTATCTGGGGGATTATCAATTATTTTAGATTAAGCCATATTAGTCTCTACTCTCATACATAGTGTGTATGTTTCTAAAATGACTTTTATAACTAATACCTGTTGTTCTGGGGGAGGACTGGAAGTGAAAGGTTAGAGGAACCAAACCATTTTGGGGAAAACTGGTAAAATATATACACCAAAGAGGTGGCTTTTGTCATGGAATGTATCTAAATTAAGATTCATTTCAAAGTTATAGGAGAAGGCAGCCCAGGCAATCAGTCAGGCAAAGACTTACATGAAAAAGAATTACAGAACATCCAAAGAGTTTGTGGCGATCAACGTAGCCATAGCTATCCATAAACATGAGGTGAACATACACCTTCCACCTCTCCAGTTTCCATGGACTCTTGGGAACACAGCTTGAAAACTGTTATAGAGGACAGATAATGGCCTGGGAGTCAGGTGACATAGTTTGTACCCGAATTCTGACACTATTAAATGACTGAGCATTTAATGTCTCTGTGTCGGTTTCTTTATTCATGAAATAGGTAGTTTAATAATAACTACCTCATATTGTTGTGGGGTTTGAATATGATAACATATACCAAGTATGCGGTCATAATAAGTCTTCACATCTGGGAATGATACAGGGGAACAAGGCAGAACTACAGGGAATAAGTTTTAGAACAAGGATTCAAACCAACTGCTGAATTATCAAAAACTCCTAAATCCCTTCTAAAGAAGAATAATACTGGTTTTGAGACTAGGGGTTGAGCCTGTAGTTGTCAGTCAGATGGTCTTAAATATACAAATTGAGAGGTCTGCAGGGATGATGACCCAAGACAGATTCTTGTCACATTATTTTTTTGACTCATTTAAAACCATCTTAATCATAAAGGAGTTACATCTGTTATATCACCTGAGAATTTCCACAGAACTGAAGCAGGCAGATTCAGAAAAGTTGAAGGATCTGTGCATGCACCCAGGTCATACATATTAGAGTCACGATTCTAAATTAGATTCAAGCACTGCGGACTTAGGGTACTTAGGGTAGTGTAATATGTCTATTATAAGCTAAGAGTGTCACAGTTAAATAGCAGACTGTCCGTGTTCAAATCCTGACTCTGCCACTACTGGTTGTATGCTGTTGGCTAAGGTTCTTAACCTCTCTATATCTCAAGAGTCCTCATCTGTAAAATGATAGGAATATTAATAGTCCATACCTCATAAGATTGTTGTGAGAATTCATTGAGTTAACATATAAAGTGCTTTGAATGCTACCTGTCCCAGAGAAGACACTCAATAAATTTTTTATTGTGGTGTGTGTTTTATGTGTTATTTGTCTGTAAAGCATGCTTGCAAATTGTTTGAGGGCTAAGATATCATCCTTTTTATCCCTAGAGCCCAAAATGTCATCATTCATTAAATTAAAAGACTTAAAAAAAAAATGTTGTTTGTGCTGTCGAGTCGGTTCTGACTCAGCAACCCTGTATTGGGTTTCCAAGGAGCAGCTGGGGAGTTTGAACAGCCAACTTCGTGGTTCAAACCCACCTTGTTTGTGGTCCAGAACTCCAGGACTCCATAACAAAAAATAAAAGAGATTATATACTTGACTTGTGGAACCCTGATTACCATACTTTTATCATGGTGGTGTTTTTGTATCTCAACTACCATCCAGGGATGATGGATTCTCTTTTGCTCTTAATTGCTAAACTTCTAATTTCCTCTCTTACTTAAAAAAAAAAAAAATTTGGTGTTGCAGATTCCATTGTTTCCTGCTACCTGTCCCTTCTTCTTTCCCCTACCTTCTTCTTTCCGCTTGGTCCCCAGAATAAGACTAGAGGTTTTCAGGGTGGGTGAAGTCCTACTGCTCTTTGAGCCCCAATTTGTTCTTACAGTCAGCTTTTCCTTGTCCCAGCTTCTCTCTTTATTTCATTCAGTTTTTTAAAAAATTATGAATTGTGTTTAAAAAACTGCAGAGAATTATATAGCAAATACATGTGTATCCAGACTTAAAGTATCTGACCATTTTGTCACATTTACCTCAGGATTTTTTTATTTAAAGAAATCTTACAGATACATTGAAGCTCATTCTTATGCCTTCCCATCCTATTCCTTTTTCTCCCTTCCCAGAGCTAAGCACAAAATGTAAGTAGGCGTGTTTCTATCTCATGCATTAAAAATTACATCCTTACTTTTAATGCAAGTAGATTAAAAAAGAATTGGATACTTAAAAAAATTTGTTACTCAATGTGCATACACATATGCATATTTACATACATGTTGTTAAGTGCTATTGATTACAAGTTATAGCAACCTTGTGTAGGGTTTCTGAGGAGCAGCAAGATTGAACTGCCGATCTTGCTATGTATATAATTATAATACTACTATGCAGTGAATTACTAAATATGGCTCTTCTAGGAGCTCTGGTAGCGTAGTGGTTACGAATCGGGCTGCGAACTTTAAGGTCAGTGGTTCGAAACTACCAGCCGCTCCGCGGGAGAAAGATGAGGCTTTCTACTCCCGTAAGGATTTACACCCTCGGAAACCCTGTACAGGGTCGCTATGGGTCGGCTCCGACTCGAAGGCACTTAACAACAACAACAACAACAAGCCAGTCTTTGTA